CTTTTACCAACGAATACTGGGATTGACCGTCACATTATAACGCCCCCACGGCTGAAAGGGCGAGCATGTTTGGTGTGACGGGGATTCGACCCCGCAGATTGTGGGTCGAGCGCCCCCTAACCACATTTGTTTTAAGTTTTGAGGATTCTGATTTTTATTTATTTACAGAATTCGTTGTATGGTAATTTTCTAATGTCTGTTTTAGGTTTTGAGGTTCCAATGTTTATTTATCGTGTGCATTTGTGACCACACCTGTTTTTTGTGTATTAATGTATCTGTTTCTTTGTAGATAGCCCTTTGGATTTGTCCAAGTCTTTAGTGTCATCACCGTCTGTAGAAGTTGTCACTGATTTAGAAAAACCTCATGATTTAAGTAGAAGGTCTCTGTCAAGTTTACAGAAATCTCCAGAGACTACTTCTTCCAGAAACAGGAGCGTCTTTTGTCAGGTAAGAGCGAAAGTATTTTAATTAACATATTTTATGCCTAGTTACCATTTGGTTAGTGATTATCCATACTTTATACCTAGTTACCATTTGGGTTGTGATTATACATATTTTATGCCTAGTTACCATTTGGTTTATGATTATACATATTTTATGCCTAGTTACCATTTGGTTTGTGATTATACATATTTTATACCTAGTTACCATTTGGGTTGTGATTACACATATTTTATACCTAGCTACCATTTGGTTTGTGATTATACATATTTTATACCTAGTTACCATTTGGGTTGTGATTACACATATTTTATGCCTAGTTACCATTTGGTTTAGTGATTATACATATTTTATGCCTAGTTACCATTTGGTTTGTGATTATACATATTTTATGCCTAGTTACCATTTGGTTTAGTGATTATACATATTTTATGCCTAGTTACCATTTGGTTTGTGATTCTATTATTTACGACAATATTAAAAGAGAAAATAAACTAAATGGATCACATTTTATTTTCATCTTTTTTTGGCAAGTTTTATAAGTACTGTAACAGGTCCCACGGTTGCTAAACGGACCGTTTAAGTACTTGCAACGCTAAAATCCGATGTTCCATTCCTCGTGGTGGGTAGAGCGCAGATAGCCCCAGTATATGGCTTTGAGCTTTAAAACAAGTTTGGTTCACAAGACTTTCTAGTCAGACATCTTGTCGATGTTCATGATTTCTGATCACTTTCTTTATTTTTGATAAGATATACACAAGTTTATCGATACAAGTAAAGCCCAAAGACTTGCATGTTCCATCTTGTTCTTACTAATCTCTGATGTTACAAAAAAAAAAAACTCCAAAATTACATTACTTGAATAAAAACATTTTTTTCACAAACAATATTTGATAAATGAAAACACGTTTCGTCAAATTATTTATGGTTCAAACGATCGCTATCAAAATGTATTGTTTTTATGAACACCGATAATTTGAACAAATAGGAAAGAACCAGAGAATCATTTCAGCCAATAGGAAAGCACTAATAGAACATTTAAGCCAATAGGAAAGCACCAGTGGAACTTTTCGCAGCGGAACCAGAGAATCATTTCAGCCAATAGGAAAGCACTAGTAGAACATTTAAGCCAATAGGAAAGCACCAGTGGAACTTTTCGCAGCGGAACCAGAGAATCATTTCAGCCAATAGGAAAGCACTAGTAGAACATTTAAGCCAATAGGAAAGCACCAGTGGAACTTTTCGCGGCGCGTTTTCTAACAATATATAATATCCACAATAGCAAAGATTAGCGCGTTTGATCAAGGTGATGCGGGTACGAGAACATTTATTGTTAAATCTGAAAATGGGGTAAGTGAACTTAAGATATAATATATGTATTAGATACGTTGCAGTAAATCCAAAAAATCTATACGGCGTTTAGTTTGGTTTGAATTTCGCGCAAAGTTACACGAGGGCTATCTGCGCTAACCGTCCCTAATTTAGCAGTAAAAGACTAGAGGGAAGGCAGCTAGTCATCAGTACCCACCGCCAACTCTTAGGCTACTCTTTTACCAACGAATATTGGGATTGACCGTCACATTTTAACGCTCCCACTGCTGAAAGGGCGAGCATGTTTGGTGGGACGGGGCCATACGGCCTTTGTACTCAATAGTTATTCCAATAATCTAAACATGATTTTAGGCCTTACGGTGGCTTAACGGTATGGTTGAGGGCTTACATAATGCTGAAAATCAGGTTTCAGTACTCGTGGTGGATAGAGCTTAACAATAAACATGTATACATTAAAACAATATGGATATTAATCCCTAATAAAGTTGAAGCTACCATGTTTGGCCCAAAATTTCTCCTTTTTCTCGAAAAGCTAAAAAAAAAACGTTTCGCGTCCTCTTACAAATAATAGACATATACCTCACATTTTCAAGCAAATAAACACACATGTGCCCCAAATATGACACAATGTCAATCTCGGTAAATTATATTTAACTCACCAACTATCATAAGTTTGACATATTCTTCCCAACTTAACGAAAGTAATCGTAACTAACGATTACAAAACAACTGCCCTGAATTATTATATATTCATATATGTAGATAAATACTGTCATAAACTACACGTTTACACGCTGGTAGATTTAGTACTTGTTATACAGAAATACGTAACGTGTTTATCTCAAACTGTTGCACAGATCTGCTATTGATGGTATATCTCAAATTGTTGCACAGATTTACTATAGAAGGTATATCCCAAATTGTTGCACAGATTTACTATAGAAGATATATCTCATATTGTGGCACAGATTTACTACAGATGGTATATCTCAAATTGTTGCACAGATTTACTATAGAAGGTATATCTCATATTGTGGCACAGATTTACTACAGATGTTTTATCTCAAATTGTTGCACAGATTTACTATAGAAGGTATATCTCATATTGTGGCACAGATTTACTATAGAAGGTATATCTCATATTGTGGCACAGATTTACTACAGATGGTATGTCTCAAATTGTTGCACAGATTTATAATAGAAGGTATATCTCATATTGTGGCACAGATTTACTACAGATGGTATATCTCATATTGTGGCACAGATTTACTACAGATGGTATATCTCAAATTGTTGCACAGATTTACTATAGAAGGTATATCTCATATTGTGGCACAGATTTACTATAGAAGGTATATCTCATATTGTGTCACAGATTTACTACAGATGGTATATCTCATATTGTGGCACAGATTTACTACAGATGGTATCTCAAATTGTTGCACAGATTTACTATAGGAGGTATATCTCATATTGTTGCACAGGTATACTATATAAGTTATATCTCTATTGTTGCACATGTATACTACAGAAGTTATATCTCTATTGTTGCACATGTATACTACAGAAGTTATATCTCTATTGTTGCACATGTATACTATAGAAGTTATATCTCTATTGTTGCACATGTATACTATAGAAGTTATATCTCTATTGTTGCACAGGTATACTATAGAAGGTATATCTCATATTGTTGAGCAGAACTAGTGTAGTGCGTTCAGTTTAAATTCTTTCACAGATTTAATATAAAAATATAACTAAAATCGTTACATAGAATTAGGTATAAAGATTGTATCTCATACTGTTCATAAAATTATTAAGTTTATGTGTTTCCAGTCACTAGTCGACTTCAGGCCAATCAAAAAACAACGGGATCGAACCCTTTTACCATGTGAATATTGTGGGAAATCATTCGACCGACCATCTCTCCTGAGTAGACACCTAAGGACTCACACAGGTGTGTAGAGGTAGAAATTTGGCGAATATAACACGCACGCGTGTTTAACACTGACCACTAGATGTCTGAAGATAAGGTTCTCTGAAATCTGACTAAAGCGTAGATACGTATAATGAACTTTATTTGTAATTTTATGGGGGGGGGATATTATTTTCGAAATTCTAATATTTTTATTGAAATTACGTTTTATTGTGTGATTCAACGCAAAACTAGGCATCGATGTGCCTGCGCTTAGGGGCGCGGACTGGCCCTTGGCTAACGCTCTGTATGTCGGAGCTAGCTAGCTAGATGGGTTCGAATCCTTGTGATGCCACAAAACATTCCTCGCGCGTTAAGCGGGTGAGTTATAAGAGTGACAGTCAATCCATTAGCGTGGCCGGTAGGGTTGTGCTGACTGTCAGTAGTTCAAACCGAGGGAAGGCGGTAGATAGCCATAATAGCTTCGTCATAAAAACAAAATATGCACTGTATCCGTAAGTGACAGACTTACTGATAAACAATAGATCATAGCCAAGATTAGTTAGCAGTTATCTTAATAATTAATTGGTAAAGTACTGTTAAAATTACATCGGGTTTAATCAGGTAGGTAGGACGACAAATCAATAAATGTTTTAATATTGATTTTACTAGAATCGAGTATCTCGTGCCTACTTTACATCATTTTTCTGTGTTAATAGACAAAAATACCGTGGGGTAGTTAATTCAAATTATATATATATAAAGTCTACTAAATTTTAGAAACTAGGCCTTAAAGAAGTACTGCACACACTGACTGATGAAAATTTTTTTAGAAATCTAAACTGTTAGAGATAGATAGGTCCGATAAAGGTAAGATACAGATATATACGTTAAAGGTAAGATGCAGATAGATAGGTCTGTTCAAGGTAAGATACAGATAGATAGATCCGTTAAAGGTAAGATACAGATATATACGTTAAAGGTAAGATGCAGATATATACGTTAAAGGTAAGATGCAGATAGATAGATCCGTTAAAGGTATGATACAGATATATACGTTAAAGGTAAGATGCAGATAGATAGGTCTGTTCAAGGTAAGATACAGATAGATAGATCCGTTAAAGGTAAGATGCAGATAGATAGGTCTGTTCAAGGTAAGATACAGATAGATAGGTCTGTTCAAGGTAAGATACAGATAGATAGGTCCGATAAAGGTAAGATACAGATAGATAGGTCCGATAAAGGTAAGATACAGATAGATAGGTCCGATAAAGGTAAGATGCAGATAGATAGGTCTGTTCAAGGTAAGATACAGATAGATAGGTCTGTTCAAGGTAAGATACAGATAGATAGGCTCTGTTCAAGGAAAGATACAGATAGATAGGCTCTGTTCAAGGTAAGATACAGATAGATA